GCGTTACTCCCGGAGTATCGCTGAGCAGGAGCGTTACTCCTGGAGTAGTGATGTAGTGATAGAATAGTTGGTGTTTCTTCCCATCAGTGACCATACCCCACTGAGCTAACTGTGTTGGTTGTTCTGACCCTTTGCTGGCACTAGGTTATTGGCACTTTGTGGTTCATGGCAGGAAACACTCCTATCGACTTTACACCAAGTTACTGAATGAGGCCACACGCTGGACCAGTGCCATTCAGAACGTCATCGACAGCAAAGTTCCCATAGAAACTCCAACCCAGCAGCTGATTCGTGACATCAAGGTAAGGAGAGCCAATGGACACTATAAACATGGAAAACAGGAGCAGGAGTAGGCCATTTGGCCCTTTGATTCTGCTTGACCATTCAATACGATCATGGCTAACCATCCAACTCGATCTCCTGTTCCTGCTTTCTCCACATACTCTTTGATCCCATTAACCCCTAGAACTGTATCTAACTCTTTCATGAAAACATTCAACATTTTGGCCTCAACTACTTTCTGTGGCAGAGAATTCCGCAGGCTCCCCACTCTCTGGTGAAGACATTTCTCCTTATCTCAGTCCTAAATGGCCAGCCCCGTATCCTGGCTCTGGTCAACTTCCTTCCTGATCCTGTTAGAGTTTTATAGGTTTCTCCGAGATCTCCCCTCATTCTTCTAAAGTGAATATAGTCCTAACTGATCCAGTCTGTCTCCACATGTAAGTCCCACCATCCCAGGAATCAGTCTGGTAAACATTCATTGCACACCCTCCATCACCAGGACATCCTTCCACAGTACAGGAGATCAAAATTGCATACAATATTCCAGGTGTGATCTCACCAATGCCCCGTATAATTGCAGCATAACATCACTCCTCCTATACTCAAATCCTGTTGTGCATCAGTGCGTGTGTCTGTCTGTCTCTCTGTCAGTCTGTAGCCATGTGTGTTCATTTCCACGCTATGCTTGTTCAAGTTCACATTCTAGTCTGCGTTCGCCCTGTCTAATGGTCAGGTCCAGCTTGGTTTTGGGTGGTCAGTTTTATGTAGGCAAGACTTCCTCATTATTGTGTGTTCAACTTGGGGTATAGTTAGGTTTATTGAAATGGTTGAGATTTTGGGAAGTGATGATGCCAGCATGTTTTATGCTGCTATCCAGTTTTGATATTGATCTGAGAATCTATTTACTTTTACTTTTCAGGAGAACAGTGTGAATGTGGAGATTGTGGAGCAGATTTACAAAAGGAACCCAATCCTACGTTATACCCAACACTCCCTGCACTCACCTCTTTTACCATTGCTCTACGGAGACATCGACGCCAGCTGTGAGTATCTGCTTGACATCTCCTTTAGACTTTGAATAAATCTGACAGGAAACGGTAATTGTGGAGATAGTGAATGTATTTGTGCAAACACAGAAAGAGGCATCATGCCTGTGCCAGGTCTCTGAAAGATTGATCAGTCTAGTCCTGAAAAGCCTGAAAATTTCTTCCTTTCAATTTTTCTAATTCCTCCCCATTTCCTTTTCTTCATCTCCCTCAGGCTTAAGAGTGGGGTCAGTAATTCTGCTAAAAATAGTTTCAGTGTTGCTGATAGTGACTTTACATCACACTCAATCCCCTCCCTTCCAGATTTCACACTGAATGTGAGCGATTTCTACTGCTCATAGAACATAGAATATAGAACAGTACAGCACAGTACAGGCTCTTGAGCCCACAGTGTTGTGCCGACCTATTATCCTACTAAGATCAATCTACCCTGCATACCCTACATTTTACTGTCCTCCATTTGCCTATCCAAGAGTCACTTAAAAGTCTCTAAAGTATCTGACTCCACTGCCACTGCCGACAGCGCATTCCACATGCACCAACCACTCTCTGTGTGAAGAACCTACCTCTGACATCTCCCCTATACCTTCCTCCAATCACCTTAAAATTATACTCCCTCGTTATAGTCATTTCCACCCTGGGAAAAAGTCTCTGACTATCCACTCTATCTATGCCTCTCATCATCTTGTACACCTCTATCGAGTTACCTCTCATCCTTCTTCGTTCCAATGAAAAAAGCCCTAGCTCGCTCAACCTTTCCTCATAAGACCTGCCCTCCAGTCCAGGCAGCATCCTGATAAATCTCCTCTGCACCCTCTCTAAAGCTTCCACATCCTTCCTGTAATGAGGTGACCAGAACTGAACACAATATTCCAAGTGTGGTCTAACCAGGGTTTTATAGAGCTGCAGCATAACCTCATGGCTGTTAAACTCAATTCCCCTGCCAATGAAAGCCAACACACTGTACACCTTCTTTACAACCCTATCAACTTGGGTCGCAACTTTGAGGGATCTATGGACGTGGACCCCGAGATCCCTCTGTTCCTCCATGCTGCCAAGAATCCTGCCATGAGCCCTGTATTCTGCATTCAAATTTGACCTTCCAAAATGAATCATTTCACACTTTTCCAGGTTGAATTCCACCTGCCACTTCTTTGCCCAGCTCTGCATCCTGTTAATGTCCTGTTGCAACCTACAACAGCCCTCCACGCTATCCACACCTCCGCCAACCTTCGTGTCATCGGCAAACTTACTAACCCACCCTTCCACTTCCTCATCCAAGTTATTTATAAAGATCACGAAGAGCAGAGGTCCCAGAACAGATCCCTGCGCAACACCACTGGTCACCGAGCTCCAGGCTGAATACTTTCCATCTACTACCACCCTCTGTCTTCTATTGGACAGCCAGTTTTGTATCCAGACAGCCAAATTTCCCTGAATCCCATGTCTCCTTACTTTCTGAATGAACCTACCATGTTGATAGAATCCCTACAGTGTGGAAACAGGTCCACTGCTCTCCCTTCATCGGTGTGTTTTGTCACATCCTTAAGGTGTTCAATAAGGCTTGTGAGGCATGACCTGCCCCTCACAAAGCCATGCTGACTATATCTAATCAAAAATTTGATTGAGATTGTCAAAATCATGAGCAGGCTGGATAGAGTAGATAGGGAGAGGCTGTTCCCTCCATTGAAATGATTGAGAATCACGGGGATAAATTTAAAGTGCTTTATAAAAGAAGCAAATGCAAGGCGAGGACAGTCCTTTTTCACACAGTCAGAGGGGATCAAAATCACTGTCTGGGAATGTAGTGGAGGCAGATTCAATTGAGGCATTAAAGAGGGAATTAGATGATTATTTAAATAGAAACGTGGAAGGTTTTGGGGAGAAGCAGGAGAATGCACAAAATTAGAATTCTCAAAGAATTGTGCAGAAATGGTGGGCTGGATGGCCTCCTCACTGTAATGATTTTGTGATTCTATGAACTCTGACTCCATCATCTATTAATAAGCTCATCCTTGAAGTAATTTAAAGACTAAACCTCCACGACCTTCTGGGAACAGAATTTCACACCCTAATGACCCTCTGTCCCTTAGTTCTCATCTGCCCACAGACAGAAACATCTTCTGGAAACCTACCCTGTCCAGTCACCTTGTGATCTGATATTTGTCAATAAGATCATCTCTCATTCTTCTAAACCCCAATGATTATAGGTCCAACCCCCTTCAATCTTTCTTCATAAGATAACCTCCCAATCCAGGTCTGGATTAATCCTTGGAGGAGGAAGCTGCACAAATATCCCCATGCTCAATGATGGAAGAGCCCAGCACATCAGTGCAAAAGATAAGGCTGAAGCATTTGCAGCAATCTTCAGCCAGAAGTGCCGAGTGGATGATCCATCTCGGCCTCCTCCAGTGGTCCCCAGCATTACAGATACCAGTGTTCAGGTAATTCGATTCATTCCACGTGATATCAAGAAACAGTTGGAGACACTGGATACTGCAAAGGCTATGGGCCCTGACAACATTCCGACAATAGAACTGAAGACTTGTGCTCCAGACCTTGCCGCTCCCCTAGCCAAGCTGTTCCAGTACAGTTCCAACACTGGTATCTACCCGACAATGTGGAAAATTGCCCAGGTATGTCCTGTACACAAAAAGCAGGACAAATCCAACCCGGCTAATTACCGCCCCATCAGTCTCCTCTCGATCATCAGTAAAGTGATGGAAGGTGTCATCAACAGTGCTATCAAACAGCACCTGCTCAGAAATAACCTGCTCAGCGATGCCCAGTTTGGGTTCCGCCAGGGCCACTTAGCTCCTGATCTCATTACAGCCTTGGTTCAAACATGGAGAAAAGAGCTGAATTCCAGAGGTGAGGTGAGAGTGACAGCCCTTGATATCAAGGCTGCATTTGACTGACTGTGGCATCAAGGAGCCCTAGCAAAACTGGAATCAATGGGTATCAGGGGACAAACACTCCGGTGGTTGGAGTCATACCTGACACATAGGAAGATGGTCATGGTTGTTAAAGGTCAATCATCTCAGCTCCAGGACATCTCTGCAGGAGTTCCTCAGGGTAGTGTCCTAGGCCCAATCACCTTCAGCTGCTTCATCAATGACCTTCCGTCCATCATAAGGTCAGAAGTGGGGATATTTGCTGATGATTGCACAATGTTCAGCACCATTTGCAACTCCTCAGGTACTAAAGCAGACCATGTTTAAATGTGGCAAAATCAAGATGATATTCAGGCTTGGGCTGATTGGTGGCAAGTGACATTCACGCCACACAAATGCCAGGCTATGATCATCACTAATAAGAGACAATTTGACCACTGCCCAATGCCTTTCAATGGTGTTACCATCATCATATCCCCCACTGTCAACATCCTTGAGGTTACCATTGACCAAAAATTCAGCTGGACTCACCACATAAACAGTGGCTACAAGAGCAGGTCAGAGGTGAAGAATATTACGCTGATTAAATCACCTCCTGCCTCCCCAAACCTGTCCACCATCTACAAGGCACAAGTCAGGAGTGTGATGGAATACTCCCCACTTGCCTGGATGGGTGCAGCCCCAACAACACTCAAGAAGCTTGACACCATCCAGGTCAAAGCAGCCGCTTGATTGGCACCACATCCACAAGCATCCCACTCCCTCCATCACCGACGCTCAGTAGCAGCAGTGTGTACTATCTACAAGATGCACTGCAGAAATTCACCAAAGAACCTCAGACAGCACCTTCCAAACCCACACTGAAAACAGCAAATGCTGGAGATCACAGCGAGTCAGGCAGCATCCATGGAGAAAGACCATGCTAACGTTTCGAGCCTAGATGATTCTTCATTAGAGCTTCAGCTGATCAGAGTAATCTAGACTTGAAACATGAGCTTGCTCTGTTTCGATGGATGCTTTCTGACCTGCTGTGATCTCCAACATTTATTGTTTACAGTACAGATTCCAACACCTGTAATAATTTACTCCTTTTAAACCCATGGCTACTTCTATCTAGAAGGGCAAGGGCAACAGATAGATGGGAAAACCATCCCCTGAAAATTCCCCTCCAAGGTACTCCTCATCCTGATTTGGAAATATTTCACCATTCCTTAAGTGTCGCTGGATCAAAATCCTGGAATTCCCTCCCAAATGGCATTGTGTGTCTACCTATGGCAGGTGACCACCCTGTTCTCAGGGGCAATTAGGGATGGGCAATAAATGCTGGGCCTGGCCTGTGACACCCACGTCCGACAAGTGAATAAAATATTGTCCATTCTCTATGAGCTAACCAATCCTTTGTCCATTATAAGACGTTAACTTAGCACCATGAGCTGTTATTTTGTACATTAAGTTTTGATGTGGCTCCTTGATTTTAAGGACAGGATTTTGGGAAATAATTTATTTGAGTAGTTGAATGTGTTGTAGACTCCAGACCAACCTCTCACCTTCCTGTCTCCCCTGTCACATCTCCCCTATCTAACCACCCCCACCTCTCACTGGCTCTAGTGCAAAAGGAGAAAGGATACACAAATCTACAGGACGAGGCTGTCAGGATCTTCCATTCTCTGCAGGAACTCGAGGCTATCTCTGATCCCATTCCAATCATCCAGGGAATCCTGCAAACCTGCCAGGACCTCAAATCGCTGCGGGATGAGGTTTACTGTCAGCTCATCAAACAAACCAACCACATGCCTCACCCAAACGGCACCGGGAGCCTGCACCACTGCCGGCTGCTCAGCTGCATGAGCTGCACCTTTCTGCCTAGCCGCACCATCCTTCGCTACCTCAAGTTCCACCTGAAGAGGTTTGTTTCACAGCTAACACCTCCCCCTCCAAAGTCCTCATCCAGAAACTCTCCCCCCATTCTCCTCCCTAACCCCCTCCCCATTCTCCATACCCCTTTCCCTCCCCCACCATTTTCCTCACCACCCTCCATCCATCTCCCCCTGCTCCTTCCCCCACATTACTCACTGCCTGTCTACCCCTACATCCCACCCTGACCACTTCCATATCCCTCCCCAACCCTCACTTCCCTAACTGAATGCACAGTTGGCTTGATGGTATTAGGCAGAGAGTGAGAGTCTAACAATGTTTGTCATACTGGAGACCAGTGATTAGTGATGTCCCGTGGTCAGTGTTGGGCCCGTTGCCGTTTGTTATCTATGATTTGGATGAGAATGTACAAGGTATGATTAGTGAGTTTGCGGATGACACTAAAATAGGCGGTATCATGGACAGTGAGGAATGTTATCAGAAATTGCAGCAGGATTTTGATCAGCTGGGGAAGTGGGCCAAGAAATGGCAAATGGAGTTTAATATAGATAAGCGTGAGGTGTGCATTTTGGAAAGTCAAATCCAGGCAGGAGTTTCATGGTGAATGGTAGGGCCTTATGGAGTGTAGTGGAACAGAGCGACCTTGGAGTTCAGATGCACGGTTCTCTGAAAGTGGAGTCACAGGTAGACAGGGCAATGAAGAAGGCTTTTGGCACATTGGCCTTCAGCAGTCAGGGCACTGAGTACAGAAGTTGGGAAGTTATGTTGCAGTTGTACAGGATGTTGGTGAGGCTGCACTTGGAGTATTGTGTTCACTTTTGGTCGCCTTGCTATTGGAATGATATTATTAAACTGGAAAGAGGGCAGAAAAAATTTACAAGGATGTTGCCAGAACTCAAGGGATTGAGTATTAGGGAGAGGTTGGGCAAGCTAGGACTTTTTCCTTCAGAGCGTAGGAAACTGAAGGGGGACCTTACAGAAGTGTATAAGATCATGAGAGGCATGGATAGGGTGAATGCACTCAGCATTTTTCCAAGGGTTGAGGAATCAAGGACTAGAGGGCATCAGTTTAAGGTAAGGGGGAAAGAATACATGGGAACCTGAGGGGCAATATTTTTTACATAGAGGGTGGTACGCATATGGAATAAGCTGCCAGCAGAAGTGGTTGAGGCGGGTACATTTAAAAGGTGTTTGGATGAATATGTGGGTAGGAAAGGTTTAGAAGGATATGGGCCAAGCACAGGAAAATGGGGTTAGCATGGATGGACATTTTGGTCAGCATGGATCAGTTTGGGCCGAAGGGCCTGTCTCTGTGCTGTAGGACTCTATGACTCTGTGTCTCTATTTACCAGGGAGGGTAATACACCTTGTCTTCAAACTGCTTCAATTGCACCTAAAGCTGTATCCCTGGGAAATCTCCAGAGCAATGTCACTGGACCAGTGTCTCTAGTGTGTGTCGCTGGGGCAGCATCTCTGGAGTGTGTTGTTGGGGCAGTATCTCTGGGGCAGTGTGTGGCTGGGGCAGTATCTCTGGGGCAGTGTGTGGCTGGGGCAGTGTGTGGCTGGGGCAGTATCTCTGGGGCAGTGTGTGGATGGGGCAGTGTGTTGTTGGGGCAGTATCTCTGGGGCAGTGTGTTGTTGGGGCAGTATCTCTGGGGCAGTGTGTTGTTGGGGCAGTATCTCTGGGGCAGTGTGTGGCTGGGGCAGTGTGTTGTTGGGGCAGTATCTCTGGGGCAGTATGTGGCTGGGGCAGTATCTCTGGGGCAGTGCCCCCTGCCCTGGCACTTTGAGGTTTGTTTCTCTCTCTCTGCACTATCTGTTTTCTGAGTGGATAGCTGTGTACTGCCTGAGTCCAATTGTGTTTTCCCACAGGGTTAGAGAGCAGTTCCCAGGAACAGAGATTGAGAAATACGCCCACTTTATTAATGAGTCTCTGAAGAAAACCAAAGTGCGGGAGTTTGTGCCATCACAGGAAGAGATTCAGGCATTGATAGGCCGGCAGGAGATGGTGACGACTGTTTACTGTCATGGTGGGGGAGCCTGTAAAATCACCATCAACTCGCACACAACAGCAGGAGAGGTGAGTCACCATCAACTCACACCCAACAGCCATATAGCCAGCAGCTCAGCCACTCCCCTCTGCCTGAAAACGGTCTCTATCCCTTTATTCCCCGTCTGTTCATGTGTCTCTCAAAATGCCTCTTAAACTTTGCTTCGTATCTGCTCCTACCACCTCTCCTGGTTCCAGTCATCTACCACCCTCAGTGTAAATAAAAACTTGCCTTGCTCATCTCCTTTAAACTTTCCCCCCCTCACATTAAACCCATGCCCCTAATATTTGACATTCCCACCCAGGGAAAGAGACACCAACTATTCACCCTATCCATGCTTCTCATAAATTTATACACTTCTTTCAAGTCAACACTCAGCCTTTGACTCTCAAGCAAAATCCAAGTTTGTCCAATTTCTGCTTACAGTAAATTCACTCCAATCCAGGCAACAACCTGGTAAACCTCTTTTGCACGCTTCCTATAGTGTGGTGACCAGAACTCTGCACAATACTCTAAATGTGACCTAACTAAAGCTTTATATGGCTGCAACATGAGTTTCCAACTTTTATACTCAGTGCTCTGAGTGATGAAAGTAAACATGCTGGATGCTTTCTTTACTACCTCATCCACTTGTGTTGCCACTTCCAGGGAACTATTGACTTGCACTTGCCGTACCCCTCAATAATAAGTATACCATTTTGGTTACTGTTGTGGGTACGACCTACCAGGGGAAGGCCATAGCAGACAGGTCTCTGGCACTGAGCCTGGCCCTGTGGCACAGAAGGGAAGGGGGGAGAATAGGAGAGCAATTGTAGTGGGGGATTCAATAGTAAGAGGCACAGACAGGCAGTTCTGTGGACGCGAACGAGATGAAAGGATGGTATGTTGCCTCCCGGGTGCCAGGGTCCGTGACGTCTCAGATCGTGTCTTCAAGATCCTTAAAGGGGAGGGTGAGCAACCAGCAGTCATGGTAAACATCGGTACCAATGACATAGGTAGAAAGAGGACTGAGAATGTGAAAAACAAGTACAGGGAGTTAGGTTGGAAGCTGAAGTCCAGGACAAGCAGGGTAGTTATCTCTGGATTACTACCAGTGCCACTTGATAACGAGGTAAGAAATAGGGGGAGAGTGCAGCTAAACACGTGGCTACAGGGCTGGTGTAGGAGGGAGGGCTTCCATGATGTGGATAATTGGAGCACATTCTGGGGAAGGTGGGACCTGTACAGTAAGGATGGGTTGCACCTGAACCGGAAGGGCACAAATATCCTGGAAGGGAGGTTTGCTAGAGCTGTACGGGATGGTTCAGATTAGTTTGGCAGGGGGTGGGGAACCGGATTTATAATTCAGAGGATGAGGTATTCGGCCTTCCGACAGACACAACAGGGAGTGAGGTGGTTTATAAAGAAATGCGGTCGATGGGGCGTAATTGTGGACACAGAGATGGTTTGAGGTGTGTATACTTCAATGCTAGAAGTATCAGAAATAAAGCAGATGAACTTAGAGCATGGGTCGGTACTTGGAACTATGATGTTGGGGCCATTACAGAAACTTGGGTAACTCAGGGAGAGGAATGGTTGTTCCGGGATTTAGATGCTTTAAAAGAAATAGGGAGGGTGGTAAAAGAGGCGGGGGAGTGGCATTGCTAGTCAGGGCTAGTATAGCAGCTACTGAAAGGCAGTTCGAGAATGATATGTGTACAGAGTCAGATTGGGTTGAGGTCAGGAGCAAGAAAGGAGCAGTCACTTTGTTGGGGGTTTTATACAGACCCCCTAATAGCTGCAGAGAAGTGGAGGAGCGGATTGGGAGGCAGATACTGGAAAGGTGCAGAAGTCACAGAGTTGTAGTCATGGGTGACTTCAACTTTCCAAATATTGATTGGAAACTTTTTAGTTGTAATAGTTTAGATGGAGCGTATTTTGCCCAGTGTGTTCAGGAAGGATTCCTGACACAGTATGTAGATAGACCAACACGAGGAGAGGCCACTTTGGATTTGGTGCTTGGCAATGAACCGGGCCAAGTGTTAGACCTGTTGGTCGGAGAGCATTTTGGGTAGCGATCATAACTCTGTTACTTTTACAATAGCCATGGAAAAGGATAGGTACATACAGCAGGGTGAGGTTTATAATTGGGTGAAAGGTAATTATAATTCTGTTAGGCAAGAACTGGGTAACATAAAATGGGAACGGATGCTGTCAGGGAAGAGCACTATAGAAATGTGGAGATTGTTTAAGGAATGCATACTGTGTGTGCTCGATATGTTTGTCCCTAGCAGGCAGGGAAGATGCGGATGAGTGAGGGAGCCTTGGTTCTCAAGAGAGGTCGAACGACTGGTTAAGAGGAAGAAGGATGCTTATGCAAGGTTTAGGAAACAAGGAACGGAAAAGGCTCTAGAGGGATACAAGTTATCCAGGAAGGAGCTGAAGAAAGGGCTTAGGAGAACTATAAGGGGGCATGAGAAAACTTTGGCAGATAGGATCAAGGAAAACTCCAAGGCTTTTTACATACACGTGAGGAATGAGAGAATGACCAGAGAAAGGGTAGGGCCGATCAAGGATTGTAAAGGGAATTGGTGCACGGAGCCTAAAGAGATAGGAGAGGTCCTTAATGAATACTTTTCTTCAGCATTCACAACTAAGAGGGACCTAGTTGTGGAGGAGAACAGTGTGAAACAGGCTGTTAGGCTAGAGGAGGTGGATGTCAATAAGGAAGATTTATTAGGAATTTTGAGGAAGTTGAAAATAGGGAAGTCCCCCGGGCCTGATGAGATTTATCCAAGGATTCTATGTGAAGCGAGGGAAGAGATCGCAGGGCCTTTGGCGATGATCTTTTCGATCTCACTGTCCACGGGTATAGTACCGGAAGATTAGAGAGAGGCAAACGTCATTCCCCTGTTCAAAGAAGGAAATAGGGATAACCCCGGAAATGACAGGCCAGTCAGTCTTACGTCAGTGGTGGGCAAATTATTGGAAAGGGCTCTGAGAGATACGATTTATGATCACTTGGAAAGGCACAGTTTGATTCGTGATAGTCAGCACGGATTTGTGAGGGGTAGATCATGCCTCACAAACCTTATTGAATTTTTTTGAAGAGGTGACCAAACACGTGGATGAAGGTAGAGCAGTGGATGTTGTATACATGGATTTAAGTAAGGCGTTTGATAAGGTTCCCCATGGTAGGCTCATGCAGAAGGTAAGGAGGCATGGGATAGGGGGAAATGTGGCAGATTGGATTCAGAATTGGCTGACCCTTAGAAGACAAAGGGTGGTAGTGGGCGGAAAATATTCACCATGGTGCTCAGTTACGAGTGGTGTACCACAAGGATCTGTTCTGGGTCCTCTTCTATTTGTGATTTTTGTAAATGATTTGGATGTAGGAGTGGAAGGGTGGATTCGTAAGTTCACGGATGATATGAAGGTGGGTCGAGTTGTGGATAGTGGGGAGGGCTGTTCTAGGTTACAAAAGGACATTGATAGGGTGCAGAGCTGGGCTGAGAAGTGGCAGGTGGAGTTTAACCCTGAAAAGTGTGAGGTGATTCATTTTGGAAGGACAAACTTGAAAGCAAAATACAGGGTTAACGGAAAGATTCTTGGCAATGTGGAGGAGCAGTGGGATCTTGGGGTTCATGTTCACAGTTCCCTGAGAGCTGCCACCGAGGTGGATAGAGTTGTTAAGAAGGCGTATGGTATGTTAGCTTTCATTAATAGAGGGATTGAGTTCAAGAGCCGTGAAGTTATGCTCCAGCTATACAAAAGCCTGGTTCGGCCACATCTGGAGTATTGTGTTCTAAGGAAGGGTCACCGGACCCAAAACTCTGTTAACTCTGTTTCTCCTTCACAGATGCTGCCAGACCTGCTGAGCTTTTCCAGCAACTTTGTTTTTGTTTCTGGAGTATTGTGTCCAGTTCTGATCACTTCATTACAGGAAAGATGTGGAAGTGTCGGAAAAGGTGCAGAGGAGATTTACCAGGATGTTGCCTGGAATGGAGGGAAGGTCTTACGAGGAAAGGTTGAGAGAGCTTGGGCTTTTCTCTTTAGAGTGACGAAGGATGAGAAGTGACTTGATGGAGGTGTACAAAATGATCAGAGGTATAGATAGAGTGGACAGCCAGAGACTTTTTCCCAGGGTGGAGGTAGCTATTACGAGGGGGCATAGTTTTAAAGTGAGTGGAGGTAGATATAGGGGAGATAACAGAGGTAGGTTCTTTACTCAGAGAGTGGTAGGGGTGCAAATGCATTGCCGGAGAGGGTAGTGGAGTCGGCCTCATTAGGGGCATTTAAGCAGCTTTTAGATACGCATATGGATGATAGTATAAGGTAGGGGTGGAGGTTAGATAGAACTTAGGTTTAGGGTAAAAGTTCGGCACAACATCGTAGGCCAAAGGGCCTGTACTGTGCTGTACTGTTCTATGTTCTATGTTTTATGTTCTATGCACCCCAGGATCCCGTAGTATATAAACGCTCCGAAGCGTCCTGCAATTTCCTGTATACGTTCCTCTTTCATTTGACCTCCCAAAATGAATCACCTCACACTTGTCTGGATTAAACTCCATCTGCTACTTCTCTCCAGCCAACTTTCAACTGATCCATATCCTACTGTATCCTTTGACAACCTCCCTCACTATCTAAAACTCCACCAATTTTCAAGTCATCTGCAAACCTTGTAATCATGCCACTGACATTTTCATCCACATCAGTTATATAAATTACAAACAACAGAGGGCCCAGAACCTTCTCGTACTCCTCTGGAAGTGACTGCTACTCTCTTGATACTCCAGTTTAGGGCAGACATTATTTTCTGATCCTCCCTCTCAGGATGGGTGATATTCATTGATCCTCCCTCTTGGCGGTGGAGGAAGGTTATTCAGGGTGGGGTGATGGCTGTGACTATGAGTTTCTCCTTTCTGCTGGTTTCTAGGTTGTTGAGAAGTTGATCCGGGGCCTGGCGATGGAGGACAGCAGGAATATGTTCGCTCTCTTTGAACACAATGAAGACGGTGACAAGGCAATTGAGAGCCGGGTCATTGTGGCTGATATTTTGGCGAAATTCGAGAGGTAAGATCCTGTCACTCATGGTCTGCCTCCTGCATCCCTGTTGGGTTCTGAATCGGGAAATATCTGCTGATGTCTGCTAGGGCAGAGACAGTGGGCGAGGGTCAGCTTGGTGCTGGGGACAATTGGTATGAGGCAGGACTGGAGAATGGGAGAAGGGCTCAGTACTTGTGGTGCTGGCGGTGATGAGGGTTAGTCAGGGGGAGAGGGTGATCGAACTTTATTTTCTTTCTTGGGATGTTGATGTCATGGGCTAGGCCAGCATTTGTTGCCCGTTCCTAATTGCCCTTGAACAAAGTGTCTTGCGCAGCCATTTCAGAGGGCAAAGTCAGAAGTCACATGACACCAGGTTAGTATCTGATAGATTTGTTTGAAATCACAAGCTTTCGAAGTGCCGCTGCTTGGTCAGGTCAGTTCACTTGTGATTTCAAATAAACTGGTTGGACTATAACCTGGAGTCATGTGACTGCTGGCTTTATCCACCCCAGTCCAACACCAGCACCCCCACATCATTTCAGAGGATGATCAACCACATTACTGTGGTAATAAAAACTGACTGAGGGAGAAACTCAACAGGACTGGCAGCATTCAGAGAGAGAACCGGTATGGCTCCTCTTCAAATTTGCTGTGGGTCTGGAGTCACATGTAGGCTAAACTGGGTAAGGATGTCCTTTCTCAAGGACACGAATGTGAATTTTGCAACAATCTTATTCTTTCTGGTCGCCATCACTGAAATGTACTTTTAAATTCTACCCAGTTGCTGCGGTAGGATTTAAATCGTGTCCTCAAATCATTGACCTGGGGCTTGGATCATTAGTCTATAACATTACCATTATATCCATGTCTCTCCTGACCGGGTGAGGGTGATAGCGGTGGCACTGTGCCCTGCTCTGTCCTCCTGTGTAACAGTCTCGTGCCTTATGCTCTGTGCCCTGTGTGCTCCTGTGTAACAGTCTCGAGCCCTGTGC